TCTTTAGCGCGTTTAAGCGTAAGTACGACTACTATAAGTAAGTAACGCTTATTTAAGACGCCTACTCCCCTCTTACGTAGCGCTAACTTCCCTTAAAGGAACAATTATTATAAGTATAAAYCCGTRCCGGTAGCGATRCGCCTATACTACGATAGCGTTATAGCTACGGYCTAAGAGCTTAATCTAGTAGATACTACTAWRTAGAAGGGYAGTTAGGAGGAAGCTAATTATAAGGCGGCGGYAAAYACCTTTAGTATTAAGTTAGATGCTTAGATCCGTATTAACGAGCCTGCCTCGGGTATACGGCGTAAGAGTAGCGTAGTCGAGGCGCCTAATCTTACTCGCTTAACGAACAATCTTATAGCTATTGCTTAAGTCGGTCGTATCGTAAGTATCTCGCCTACTCCTCGTATRCGTCTATAATGCTAACCGTCTATATAGTAGTTAGAGATAATAGGGCAGTCTACTAATACCTTCGATGCTACCCTTACTAGAAACGAGCTATTCGAGGAGKAGTCCGAGGCGGAGGAGAATAAGTTCGAGTAGAGTGCTTAGCGCGTTCTCTAGGCTTACGTAGCGTATACGCCTATCTTATAGTATAATCTATAAAGTAATCCCCTTTAGGTCTAACCGTAATAAAACTACTTAATTCTTATTACTCTTCTTCTATTTTACTCCGCTCTACTTCCGAGACTCTTTTACTACGCGGCCTCTATATATACGCGGAGCCTACGCCTCGAACCTATCGAGAGCTTCGTAGTCTTTAATATATATACTAGGTTCCTACTAGTTATATTCTAATAGCTATCTACGCTACTTTACTAAATAAAACGTTTCGCCCTTCTACACCCTCTTATTAAGAATCTCTTTAACCTCCTACTACCTATCCTCGTCGACTACGAGTAGTATGCGCTCCTCTTACGCTTTACTCTTCCGGCTAGAATATAGCTCTAATAGAGTAACGTAGAAGACGTTATAGATCCTTACTAAGGTAGGTAACTATAAGCGATACGCCTAAGTCCCGATTACGTTAATTACGCGGTATAGGCCTAGCTATTTAGGTCCTATCTTCTTCTTGCCCTCTAGCTTAAGGTTCTTCGTARAGAGAAGCACTAGATTACTAATATTAAAGCTTATAGGCTTATAGTTCTTATTATAGTACTTTAACTATTACTCTTTAGCTTTACGCTATCGCTTAGTAAGCTCCTTATGTACGCTACGTATACGCTTCGCTAAGTCGATAGCGGCCGGTATTCTCCCTTCTAAGAGCTCGTTCCGAGTAATGTCTTAGGTATTAGCGCCGTCGCCTAGAGGGCGCGTCGCTAGCTCTAGGTTCTATCCGTAGAGGATTTAGAAAGGGCTTATTCTAAGGCCCGCGTATACGCTATTATTACACGCAAATTTAGCTATAGGTAGCTATTACGCCTAGCTATCCTACTACGTGCCGTAGTAGTAGCGTAGGTATTGCTTAAGCGTCTAATTAGCTTTCTTAGTCTATCTATCCGTCTAAGGGTAGAAGGCTATACTTAGCTTACGCTTTATATGCGCTTCGTAGTAGAAGTTAGACTAGTATTAGCTAGTAAAAACCGAGCYTCTATTACTAATAATACCTACTAGTACGCCGTATTTATAAACTACGTAAGRTATAAAGATATCCGCTAGCTCTACTATATTATATTACTTAGTAGTAGGGATAAATAAAGCTATCTTACTATAGCGGTCGACGATTACGAGCACCGTAGTATAGACGCTATCTCCGCGCTTACTAGGAGGTAGGTCTATAATAAAGTCTATACTAATTTCTTACTATGCTCGATCTAGTATAGGTAATAGAACTATTACTCCGTAGGGGCGGTAGTGCCGCGCCTTACTTACGAGGCACATATAGCACCCCTTAATATACTCTACGACATTAGTAGCTATACGTAGCTAGTAGTACTTCCGCTAAAGTAACTCGAGCGTCTTCGCCTTCCTAAAGTGTCCGGCGAGAGCGTTATCGTAGTATATACGCATTAGTTACGTACGTAAAGTATAGTCTTTCGGAATATATAGGGCATCGCCGTAGAACAATATTCTATCCTTAATAATATAGCCTTCGTACTCGCCCTTCTCCCTAGCCGCGTCGCGTATACTCGAAGTATCCGCGTCTACGTTTACTAGTACTTTAGCGTAACCGAGTATTAGGTCTAGAATATTTCTAAGGGCTAAGTCTATAGCTGCTAGGACGGCTATAATACGCCTAGGTAGCGAAAGCTCGCCGTATACTCTAGTAGGTAGTAATCCCTCGCACTTAATCGCGTAGTATATAGCTCTTACTCTYCTAATAGAGGGCTCTAGCTCGCTTCGAAGAGCTTTATTAGATTACTAGTTCTAAAGTTTGCTTTATAGTATAGGTAATAGCATACTTATATACTAAGACGACTCCGTCGTACTCGTTTCGTAGTCGCTACGCCTACTTAGACTATCCGTAGGGTTCTTTATCCCTACGCGATATTCGATAGTAAAGTCGAAGGGCGCTAATTAAACCGCCTATCGTGCCTATCGACCGACTAACTATTT